TGTTAAGATTATTATTTCAATTGTTTCGGAATTTCATAATTTTTAACTATTGCATTCTAAGTTTGTCCTGAATAAAAGGGCAGTTGTAATTTTTTTCTATATCGGGTTCTCACTCTTCTTCCTGGCTACCTCACCAACACCTTGGCGTTCCCTGCCCCTCTGCCATTCCCTCATCTGAGTTAGTTCGGTTGCCGTACTCTATTCTTTTCGGGAATTTTCGTAGTCTCGTTACGTGACGCAACGGTGCGTCTGGCGCCCAGTCGGTGACTTTCGGTATCGCGTCCCGGGGGAATAGAGCATTATATTTGTGGCGTAAAACGCGTCGGGATAGCTGCGTCTCGGCGAGTAGACTTTGGGGTTAGATTACGCTTTAGTCTCAGTTTTATAGCACTGGCGAATAAGTTGAAGTATAAAAATTGCGTCACAAACAGTATATATGTATAGTATATTTGCTTATGTATACGTGTAGATTTGTAAATAAATAATGCACCTGGTCAACTGCATGCATATAATGTAATATTCCTATGTCGAGATAAACAACACAGCATTAGTCCAGTTAAATTGAGATATAATCGAGAATTTTAGTATTCATCTTCGATGAACAAAATTTATTTCTTTCTACAAAGCGTATGTTATTTAGATTATTCAGTCAAACAATTTTTTTACGTTATCGTGATTTGCTTATACGCTAATTATTTAAATGGATCATTTGTCTGATGTTATCGTCGATCGTAGTATAGGCCTACTGGGGACCCGCTACGTTAAATAATGGGAACGCACCGACTACGGCATCTCTTGGGTGATGTGGAAGCCCGTAGATTATCGTTGTTGATAACTTTATTATAATAAAGTAATAAATAAAATAAAAATAAAAATTTATATTTTGTTCGGTTTTTTTACCTTCAGCTTGCAGCCCGTACAACGTTTGAGGAGGTCGGAGCGCTCACGCCGGTCAAACCAGTGTTAAATTTTAGTAAACGTTTTTGTAAATTTAATGTATTATGTAATATTGGTCAGATAATATTATTGTAAATTCATCGCTCTGAATTTTTTTATGGGAATTTTTCTATCTGAATTTTTTCACTTCAATCAATTAATTCATAAAACTTCGTAAAAACAATAAAAAATATTGAGCACTGATTTGACCGGCGTGAAGCGCTTCAACCTCCTTAATACGTTGTATTTTAAAAAAATCATAACGTCCAGAAGAAGGAAAAAAAAACTTCCGATGGAGGGTCTCGAACCACAGACCTTTGGCTTCCTAACCCAATGCCTTGCCTATGGACCAACATCATGTACTTTGTATACTTCCTTCGGAACTGAGAGATAAACCATATCCACGATTTTCCTTTAAACATATAATCATCTTACCTAAATTATTAACAAAAAAAAAAACGAGAAGCTACCCTAAAAAATTAAGGTAAGGTCTACAATAAATAGCACATAGTTATTTAAGAAAATGATTTCATATTTATTTATGTGCACTTGCATATGTGATCTACAATCTGAAAATATACTTTCCCAATAGAAAGCAATAAGAATTATAACACTGAAATACATTTCTATTATATAATCTTTGATACATGTGATAAATCCTACAATTTTTCCATCATTAATTCTATTTAGAATGTTATTAATGTGACTTGGACCAAATGGTGTTCGTTTCTCGCACACAATTTGCGCGTGCGCGCTACAGTCTCTTTTAGTACAAATTCCCACTCATGGGCAGCGCCACAAGATAGCTTGGTGTGGCGGTCCGCACCGTCCCTGCAGCTGTCTCGCTCGGCGGCCGCCGCAGACGCCACGGCGCTCTAGTCAATCCTTGAACGGGACGCCACAGCTCTAGTCTCCATGAGAACAACGTGCACGCAAGGTGGTCGTCGCCATCTTTACATTGCAGTACTACGCGTGGTTTAATAGTTCCAAGTTTATATCATTTGACAATAAAGGAAATCTTGAAAAAAACGCGCGTGCTTAGTCACCCCCACTTATCCTTAGCCGATAAAAGAACTAGCACGACATTGGGATTTTCGGGGCGCCATCTACCCACCGGGATTGGAACTAAAATTTTACTATAGTATATGCTTCACATACTCCCACCACGTTCTCCGCACCTCTATACCTATCTACACTCAACGGTTCAGGTGGCGGATTGCCTATGGTTGCTCTGTGTAATATTCCGCACTATATGAAAATTTTGTTTCACTATTCATGTGGAGAATAGTTTAAACTTTTTTTTTAAAGTGTATATGTTAATATTTTGTGATCTATTTTTCTGGATACGAAAGGATCAGGTAGGAACTTAAATGATATTTATTTCCGATTAATTTCATCTTCCGCCCACTTTGGCTGGTTTAAACTTGTTTCTCTTTTGGTTTTTTGATGCATCTTGACATTTTGTGCGATTCGATAATATGAATGATTTTGGAGTGTGGGTCTTGTTATGTAATGTTTCCCAATAGAAAGCAATAAGAATTATAACACTGAAATACATTTCTATTATATAATCTTTGATACATGTGATAAATCCTACAATTTTTCCATCATTAATTCTATTTAGAATGTTATTAATGTGACTTGGACCAAATGGTGTTCGTTTCTCGCACACAATTTGCGCGTGCGCGCTACAGTCTCTTTTAGTACAAATTCCCACTCATGGGCAGCGCCACAAGATAGCTTGGTGTGGCGGTCCGCACCGTCCCTGCAGCTGTCTCGCTCGGCGGCCGCCGCAGACGCCACGGCGCTCTAGTCAATCCTTGAACGGGACGCCACAGCTCTAGTCTCCATGAGAACAACGTGCACGCAAGGTGGTCGTCGCCATCTTTACATTGCAGTACTACGCGTGGTTTAATAGTTCCAAGTTTATATCATTTGACAATAAAGGAAATCTTGAAAAAAACGCGCGTGCTTAGTCACCCCCACTTATCCTTAGCCGATAAAAGAACTAGCACGACATTGGGATTTTCGGGGCGCCATCTACCCACCGGGATTGGAACTAAAATTTTACTATAGTATATGCTTCACATACTCCCACCACGTTCTCCGCACCTCTATACCTATCTACACTCAACGGTTCAGGTGGCGGATTGCCTATGGTTGCTCTGTGTAATATTCCGCACTATATGAAAATTTTGTTTCACTATTCATGTGGAGAATAGTTTAAACTTTTTTTTTAAAGTGTATATGTTAATATTTTGTGATCTATTTTTCTGGATACGAAAGGATCAGGTAGGAACTTAAATGATATTTATTTCCGATTAATTTCATCTTCCGCCCACTTTGGCTGGTTTAAACTTGTTTCTCTTTTGGTTTTTTGATGCATCTTGACATTTTGTGCGATTCGATAATATGAATGATTTTGGAGTGTGGGTCTTGTTATGTAATGAGATATCGAGTTCATAAAAATTTTTGAGCTGTTTTATATAGAAAGAATTTGGACATGATGTTTTTTACTGGAAGGGTCAAACGTGCAGATGGCTATTGACAAATTGATCTGTATTGATTCCAGAGGCCGAAGTAGGACATTAAGTAAAATAAGAAAGAAAGACAGTAGATATGATATTTTAAGAAGGATACTGTTTTCTTTAGTTGCATTTGACTGATTTTTTGTTTTACTTATATGCAGAATAAGACAGCTATTTTGTTTATTTAGATGTTTATTAATATTTATGATTTTGAATATGTTTTTGTATGTATTTTGATTTCGTGTATATAGTTTAGAATAATGCAGATTGAATATCAATGAAATTATAATCATCAATTATTTACAGGGTGGCTAATAAATATAATGGCGGGAGATGATACTGAACTATGTGGGTTTCTGGATGCAAAATTGCCAGGAAATAAAGGAGTGTCCCAGAAGGTTCGAAAAAGGTCCTTAGCATCTTGGAAAGTTTGGAAAAGACATTGGTGTTCTGTAAAGAAACTAGGTCCTGGCTTGGGATTTGAAGTTCAATTAGATTGTGGTATTAGTAGTGGCAGTGCAACTGTACCAAATGAGAGAGATAATTCTATAAAAATACCATTTGATGCATTCATATGTCGAACAGAGTCTAGATCAAAACAATTTGCTTTTGGCATTTTTCCTGCAAAGGAGAGAAAGCCTTTGCTGTATCTTTCTGGTAACTCTGAGACAGAAACTCAGCGTTGGATGGCAAATCTTAGACAGTTTTTAAAACCAAGAAGGCATCGTTTTATGGATGGAACTTACTACATATCTATTGTTGATAACACACATTCTCGAGCTGCTGGTCTAATAGGTAATTTTTTGTAAAGATAATCTTTCTCTGCATTTGTAGAAAACATATTGCAAACTTTTAAATATCATTTTTTAATTTTCTAAAGGGATGCATGGTGATATGGTAACCAGTCGTCTTGGACTATTTATTAAAGATGTACATTCGGGTGAAATAATAGAGAATCTAGAATGGAAGGAACTAAATCAATTTCATTTATCTACGGCTGGCCGTCCGGAGGATGTAAAGAGAATCTGTGTAATCCACACAACAAAAGCATTTCGTGGTGGTATTGGAGAGCTTTATATATTTTGTTTGGAGGCTGGAAAATTACTTCAAGATCTTGTGACTCAGGGCCGTGGTCCACGACAAAAGCACCTGAATCAAAGACCTTTAAGTCTTAGCGAAGGCGACCTTAGGTTGTCTATATATAATGACAGCGATTCCGAAAACTTTCCAGTACTCAAAAGCAAAGTAGCCTCGAACCTCATCAATGCGGGTCTCGGATTAATGATGTCCTCTCGATCAGGTAGCGAAATAAAGCTTCTTAATGAAATAAGACAAAGTACAATGCTTGAAAAAATAACAAGCACCAAGTTATCCATCCACACGCAAAGAGCAGTAGATAATATCTACCAACTGGAGCCTGCAACCATTCCAAACATTAGCTCCAATTTAGAGGAACCAGAAGAACCATCTCCAAGAAGAGTATCAAATATATCAGTGGCTTCAGGAATTTATGAAGAAATCCCTGAGAATGTTGATAATTTTAAAGCTGTCAGATTACGTTCTAACTTGTATGAAGACCCAGAGGATTTATTTTTTGGATGTTGTTGTCCAAAACAGCAGCCACCACCACTGCCTCCCAGACAAATATGTGGATCTGGTTCAACACGAAATGGAAGGTAAGTAAAGCAAAATGCCACTTGGTTATTTAAGTATACCGTCATTGTTACACGTTCGTAAATCATTTAAAAAAGCTTTAGGCGCTATCTCAAACATTAACTAACATTTTTCATTCTAAGCTAACGTATTTTTTTTATTGTAGTATTAGTGATGACGGACTGGATTCCGAAGAAGGTACTCGATCAGCTACACCGAATACTCAGGATGAGGCAACTCCAACGCCAGAGGAAAAAACGAATACCATGAATCCCACGTCAATAGACAACTCGGACTACGTTACAATGTCACCACGATTAAAAGACATCGCTCAAGGTAATTACAAGAAACCTCCACAGGAAGAATTCTACATGGTGATGCGGTAGATAATAATTTAGTATATGAAATAACTTATATGTAAAAATATTTAGTCAATTATATCAGTATGAGTGTGCAGTAACGCTTCAGGATGCATACAACACGAACTGCACCTGATAAATATTATATGGAGTAATTCAAGACCTTTCAAGATGCGTTTGTAATAAAGAATAAGCTAGTAGTCCATTTTATAAATTTCAAATGCCCCGCTGTAAGATCTATAAGGCAGACAGACTGGGGTACTGGAGCTTGATTACAGCTTACGGTAAATAAAATGAATTTATTGAAATATAAGATAACTTCAATAAGTTCGTAATCATATAAATTGCACTGTGATGCGTGTATTACCGATCTTAATCAGTGAATGACTGGTTAAAATCTCGACGTTAAGTGTTTGACGAAATAGTTGTAAATGTTATAATAGTCTGGATATGTGAATGTGTGAAAATGGATAACAGTAATTAATACGGACGTAAATTTCTACGACTTTTATACAATTTTCTATGAAACTTTCAGAAATGAACTGATACACCACCACGTACAAAATATCATATAGTATTTCATAGTTTTCTAACGTAATTTGAGACTTGTTACTTATCAAGAGAAGCGTCATAATCGCAATACTATTTATTACTACTGCCTTTTGCTATGTGCCTCGATACGCGTTATATACTCTAAACGTTGTTAAGGAAACCTTGTTAAGCTTCACACGGTTATTATTCTATTGCATATTGTTTGCAAAATTGTGCAGCTTTTTGATAAAATGGAAATCGGTTCGTTGGCACTATACGTATATAAAAGTTTGGCATTTGTTGAGAATTTCAATGGTGAATTCGATGTTGCGTGCTGGCATGAATCGATTATGGGCAGATTGTTTGTAAGTTTGGAAGATTATAGGAAAACGTAAGTAAGAGGGCCTTTAATTAATTTTGATGATTTGAGAAATCTGTATTTTCGTTTTCCTTTTTCAATGTGTAAGACAGCTTTTTTCGGGCTTTCACTCAATGTAGTAACAACAGATTGTGATAGAATATATTATGACGATATGACATAATTTTAAGATAAAAAGAAACGCTATAAATGTTGCTTTGGATTTGTGTGGTGCATGACGAATACTCGATCTATGTTGATTCTGTATTGCTTATAAATGAAATGTAGTAAATTTAATATTGCAGTCAAGCATAATACTTGGTACATGATGGCAAAATACATAAAATATTGTAGTTTTCTTTGACGTTGACTTGACTTTCTAGAAAAATTTGTTATTTAATTTTATCCCCTACAGTCATACCTTATTTTTAATTATACTATTATGTATTATAAACCTTGATATTACATTATATTCTAATTGTTATTAACAATAAAAATAATAATGCCAAATAGTTTAGTTTTGTATTTTAATGACAAAAAATTTCAATATTTATGTATACAGTATATTTATTGATCAATATATAAAGTATATAAAACTATAAAATATTAATGTAGTAATATTCTAGATTTTAAGTGGTTTTTAGACTATTCAAAATCATTTTTTCGTTTCTTCTTTGCATTTTTATATGTAGATTGTCTGGCTTTTCTTTCAAACTCAGCTTTATTTATGCAATATTCTTCAGCAATCTCAGTCATGAGGGGATCATCAGGATTTGGATTGCCAAGTAAATGTTGTACTGCTGTTAAGAGATTCTCCAAATTGATTGTAGGCTTCCAACCACCTTTTGGAGGCATTTTGAGAAGATCCATACAAATCCGTCCGCTGTTATCTATATTGGGATGATATACTGGTGTCAAGAATTTAATTCTTGGAGGCTCGAATGGATAATTGTCAGGGATTTCAACTTCAAGTTGAAATAATCCGCCATTGTATGGACTATTATTTGGACCCATGATACTGACAGATAAAACATCCATTTTGTCAGCTTTCGCATAACAGGAAATTCCTTCTGGTGGATCTTCCACAAGTCGGGCAAGTTCTTTCTTTATCCTGGATGCTTTCTGCATGACTTATGATCACCCTAAATCATATATAAACTTGTTGATCATACTTTAAATTAATATTTATAAGTGTAATATTCAATAATCAAAACTGTGATTATAAACAGGCCATAAATATACCACATTATAAATATAATATAAAAAATAATATAGGTCTTACCCCTCACAATAATAACATTAAGTAATCCAAGTATAAACTGGAACTCGAACCAAAATTCCGTGCTATTGAAAATTAAACTTAATTAATCCATAACCTCAATGGTCTTAACGGTTATCAATCGCAAAATATATTTAACGAAACTTACGCAAAATTGTTTCGTTCACACACCACACGAAGTACTATATTTAAACAAATAAATTAGATAGAGGGGCTTCTCATTTAATAAAATTATTCAATTTTAAACCCTGCAATGGTTACACTACACAAACATATGTATGTATGTACTATGCACAGACAGTATCCAAGTGTACTTGTATGTAGTATGCAAATGACAAAGTAATCGTTAGACTAAACATTTATTTTGCCTAGACTTATAGAGTTTTATAATCTAAAAAAATACATACTAGAGAAAATCAACTGCCTATAAAAAAAGATCTTGGATGAGATTGGCAGGTATATGAGAACACGAGACGGCCCTGAGCTCTACTTTATATGTATACAAATGTAAGGTATAGTGTGTGTGTTATTATAGTGTAGCATAATATACTGTCATACCGTGTGTAGTGAAGAAATGATGTGGGAGTACGTTGGCGCATAGCGAAGAAAACGCTCGCGATCATGAATAGTACGTAGTGCACTTGTACCGCTCGTTAATTCAAAATATTAATACATCAAATAACAATTTTTTGTGGATGTAGTGAGTGCATAGTGATAATTACATTTGATATGTGAGTTTGAGAAGGAACAATTTAATAGCACGGGGACGCCAACATTAAAACAGGTAAGCCAACTGAACAGGTATTTTGGGCGTTGACCGTACGTAGTCTTTTGCTACGACGCGCTCACTATTATTATTTATTCGTAGGACGTAATTCGTACTTTTTTCTCATAACCCATTGACCTCTTAGAAGTATAAGATTTTAAATTTTTTGACGGTCGTCCGTCAAAACGTTGATTTATCACGGTAGATAAGGGCGCACGCGCTACTCCTATTATCAACGTTACTCTGGACTTGCACGTAACTTCTGTATGTATAACTGATGTAAAGAAGAATTCTTAGCAACATAATCTTTCGAATGAAACAGAAAATAGATAGAGATCTTATAAATATGCTAAATTGAGCCCATTTATTGCATTGATATTTTAGCATTCATTTAGGCTTGATGTATACGTTGTAGGTTATTGTGATGGGTCCATCAATAGGGCGTCGGCAGTGTTTCGAATGCAATATGAATTAAGAAAATATTTCTAAAATATTTCATATTATCATAGTCTCCGAATACAATAGTTATTTATTTTTTAATTAAATTATTAAATTAACTATTTACCGTCGAGTTATTATAATGTACTGATAAGCTGTGGCCTGATTTATCGAACTATGTATTAATGATTCGATTATGAAGGTCGGTTCTATTTGAATTTTATGATAGTGAATGATTTTATTCCGAAAGACTCTAGGAGGATAATATATGAATTACAAAAGTTACAAATTGCTGTTTTGGAATAAAATTTAATGTATCAAATTACGAGTTTTTAAAATTTGTTTGAAAATTAAAAAACTATTCATATTCTTGATTGTGTTATCTCCCGCTATTCTGGTTTTTTTTTAAAACAATATTTTCTCTTAATGATTTATATCGTAATAAATATTTTAAACGTATCGTAACCTATTAAGAAGTTTGATTGGAATGTAAAATCGAATGCTTATTTTTTTTATTTAAGTTTACACTCTTAGAATCACCACCTTTATTAAGGAAAAGCTATAAAAATAACGAAACTTGAGCGTCATTAATTTCCAACAATTCTTAAGTATTCGACGTACATTATATATCGAAAAGCTTTAATTTCAAAGATACAAAACGAATTCGTAATGTTTATAAACACCAGCAGCTGCTATTTGAACCAGAGATTTAAATTATCTGTCAATTTACATTTTTTTAGATTTCTACTAGAACGAGAATTTGCATGTACCCATTATAATATCCCTATTAAGCATATGCTAACAATTATATTTAAAATATCAGAAGAAACATGACCCGTTTGAGTTTCATTCGAAACTTTCTTTATATTAAAAAAATTATCTTATTGACTGCTAGAGTAATATACGTGGGCGTTCTCACACATTACTCCCATGGCATTAAACTTTGTTTCGCGTTAGTCACAATATATGTACATAAGTAATCTTGTATCAAGACACTTGTTTGAGTATTAGTCAAATATATATTTGACAAAACTCCTCGCCCAAGTCTTTTAATAAGAATAATCTGCACACTTATTATAAAGAAATAACAATCTAGTTTTAATTAAAGCAATTTGTATGTAAGAAATGTAATAATTCTAAAAGCTTCAGAAATTTTTTAATTATTATGTTTATATCTATGCCATATCCAAATAATTATGAGTCATCAAGTATAAGTCATGAACGTTCAACTGCCAATGTTGAGTCACGAATATTATCCTTTTAACAGCAATAGTGTATTTCATATATGGCTAATTACTGTAATGCAATAAATTCTTCAATATGTCAGAAATTAAGAGAAAGGATTCCTTGCGACATTAATACTGTTTAAATGATGCGGAACGTGATTACGTTTTTAATTACAAGCGTCAAGAAAGTTCTATTTATATGACATTTCATCATTGTGCGTAGTTTTTTTCCCAATTATTCTGGTTGTTCACTTTGTTTATCTCTTCCTGTTGATCCTTTCGGCTTGTACGAGGGTAGGCTGAAAAGTAATGCACACATGCTTGTAGAACGCGAGCGAAATGAGCTACAGAAGCGCGCCTGGTGGCATTCATAAGTAAAATTCCTCTTTTACACGCATGCGGAGTTTAAAGTCCTTGCGTCCATCCAGTGCATTTTGAGCAGCGTAAATATGGAGACGTGTTCTAGGGCTATGTCAACGAGAGTTAAACAGCGTGCTGTTATCGAATTTTTAACTGCTGAAAAAGTGACACCTACTGAAATTCATCGTCGTTTAAGGGGTGTTTATGGTGACGAAGCTGTTAATAGGACTACTGTCAATCGATGGGTAATTAGATTTCGTGGTTGCGAGCTTGGAAAAGCCATAATTGTTGATGAAACACGCACAGGACGTCCCATCACTGCCACAGACGATAAGCATCGCAAACTCGTCGATGATTTGATTCAAAATAACCGGCGAATCACTCAACAGCGTATCGCAAACCATGTTGGAATATCCAAGGAACGTGTTGGCGTCATTATTCAACAATTGGGATACCGGAAAACGTGACAACGCTCGTCCACACACCTCGCGCGCAGCTGAAGTTTGAACCGATTCCACACCCTCCTTAGTCCCCCGATCTTGCGATTTTTATTTTTTTCCTCTACTTAAGAGAGACCTGAAGGGTAATCATTACACCTCAGACGATGAGGTGAAAGCAACTATCAAATCCTGGATTCGAAAAAAGTCGGAAGAATTTTTCAGTGACGGAATGAAAAAACTTGTTACACGTTGGGAGAAATGTGTTAGTCTTAACGGTGACTATGTTGAAAAATAAATAAATGATTTTCAAGCTTAAGAATTGAACTTTAATTTACTTTTTACCTGATCTCGCTATTTCTTTTCGTTAGCGTTCTACAAGTATGTGTGCATTACTTTTCAGCCTACCCTCGTAGTTTCAAATGTCATTGACTGAATATCAGTTGCAGATTTTTATATCACAGTATATCCTTGAATTTAAGATTTCGCGCAAGCTGAAAATTCGCGTAAGACGAATAACTCTTAAATATGATATTCTTTGATATGTATGTTCATTTCAAAGGATAATTCAGATTGTAAATCTAGACCCCGTATCTACGAATTCGCCTAACTCGAATTCGTGTAGCTTGAGGACTTACTGTGTAGACATTTCTCTGGCTTATACCATATAAGCTTTTAGAATGCTTTTAATGGAAATAACTGTACTTTCTTTATAACATGTTTCTGAATACTTAATACGAAATCAAAAGGGGATTATGTTGAAATTCCCACTGTTTTTTGGGTTTCATTAAAAAAGTGTTAAAGAAATATTTTTCTCTTTAGGAAAATGTGGCTCTTATTTGTGGTATTATTCTTCGCAAGTGGCTTTGCTCAATCTCCGCAAGATAATCCTGACCCCACCAGGTCTACTTGGAGCCGATTTGATGAGAGGGAACAAACAGGTGGTTTTGGATTTCGAAATGCAGGTCATTCTGGTGATAACATCATCATCAAAGAAGCGTAAGTGTAATAATAAATATTTTATGATGAGAATGGAATCTAAAAGGAAAATCGAATTTTGTTAAGATAAATTCATTTTCGTAGGACGTACTTTGTCGTCGCGTCAAGGATGGTTCGACCAGGTCAGGTATACCGTGTAGCTGTGAACGTTCTTCATAGTTCTTTGCCTATGATGGTTCGGACTTCTATACAGAGGAATGGCGTAGAGATATCAGCTGATCACCAAGAAGTTAAGGAAGGTATACCGGAGGCTTTAATGATGAGGATGCCACCCACATCGGTCACTGGGGATTATAAACTTCGAGTAGAAGGAATGTACAATAGTCTAACGGGTGGCCAAGCATTCCTTAACGAGACACAGCTTACATTCTCGCAAAGATCTATGACCATTTTCATCCAGTTGGATAAGCCTGTATATATGCAAGGGCAGAAAGTAAGATTCCGTACAATACCTATTAATACAGAATTGAAAGCATTTGACAATCCGGTAGACGTTTATATGCTGGATCCTCATCGTCGTATCATGAGAAGATGGCTTAGTAGACAGAGTAATTTAGGAACAGTATCATTATCCTATCAATTATCGGATCAACCTGTTTTTGGTGAATGGGTCATCCAGATCATCGCTCAAGGTCAAATCGAAGAAAAGACCTTCCTTGTAGAAGAATATTATCAAACGCGTTTTGAGGTGAATGTTACAATGCCTGCTTTCTTTTTTGAAACTGATCAATATATTCATGGTATTGTTATGGCAAATTACACTTCTGGTGCACCAGTCAGAGGGAATCTCACGCTTAAAGCCAGTTTTCGGCCAATTAATAAAGCACACACCACATCCGTACAGAATGAAATATTTGACAGATATTTTAATTTTGATGAACAGTATCCATCATGGTTTAAGAGACCTAATTTATACGAAGATACCATACCTGTACTGAGGTTCTTCAATGGAACATATAAATTCAAGTATTCTATGACAGAGTTGATGCAATTTGTACCTTCCTTAGATGGAATGGAAATGACCGTAACGGCTACTGTTGGTGAACGATTCTTAGATGAAATTATTGTTGGATATTCCACCGCGAGGATCTTTAATTCTACTATAAAGATTCGCTTCTTTGGAGAATCACCACAAGTTTTCAAACCTGCCATGCCGTTCGAATTGCATTTAGTTGCCTCATTCCATGATGATTCACCTTTAAGATCATTGCAATTAGAAACAGCACGGATGGAAGTACGTGCTGATATAGAAAGTCATACTAATGGTAGAAGAACCATTGAAAATCAATTTGTAATCTCCTCATCCGATAACAACGCAGTATGGTCCATGAAGTTTGATTTGAGAAAACAATTACATTTGGACGAGGGTGGCCAACATGCACAGCAGATTTTGAATGATATCAGCTCTATGAGAATCTACGCTTATTTACTGGATGGGGAAGGTAATAGGGCACAGACAGAATTATTACTTCTTGCTCATGAATCTCCAAGTCAGAAACATATCAAAGTTTCTACCTCGACTGAAAAGCCCAAAGTTGGCGAATATATTATTTTACATGTACAAACAAATTTCTATATCGATACTTTCAATTATATCATTATGTCAAAAGGCACAATACTTTTGACTGGACAGGATAGTATGCAACACAATATACGAACTCTGGCTATTCCACTCAGTCCGGAAATGGCACCAGTTGCTACGGCAGTTGTATATTACGTTGGTAGATATGGAGAAGTTATAGCCGATACGTTAACATTCTCCGTTAACGGAATTTCTCGTAATAACTTCACAGTTTTTATTAATAATAAAAAGGCAAGAACTGGAGAAAAAGTTGAAGTTGCTATTTATGGAGAACCTGGTGCATATGTAGCTCTATCTGGTATAGACAGAGCATTCTACACCATGCAAGCTGGCAATGAACTTACGTATTCAAATGTTATTACAAAAATGGCTTATTTCGGTGAACAAACAAATGGCACTCATTTGCACAATTGGCTGCACCATGATGGAGATCCCGATGAAGTCGTGTATTTCCCATCGTCAACTTTTGGTATCGATGCAAACCGCACGTTCGAATTTGTAGGTTTAGTTGTCTTTACGGATGCAATAATTTATAGAAGACCTGAAATTTGTAATCGTACTCAAGGATATGGAGAGTGCCTATCCGGAAGGTGCTACAGATTAGAGAAACAATGTGATGGAGTTCCTGATTGTGAAGATGGCACTGATGAATCTCACTGCATACAAGGCAATGCTACTGATTTATTATACTTTCGGAAGTGGCGCTTTAACAGAATTCAAAGACAGTATGATAACGTTTGGCTGTGGAAGGATATTAATATTGGACCCCACGGAAGACAGATATTTAATATAGAAGTTCCACGTAGACCAGTTCATTGGATGATTACTGCATTTAGTATGAGTCCGAGTGTAGGATTTGGCATGTTACCAAAAGCATTGGAATATATAGCAGTTTTACCATTCTTCATAAATGTCGAGATGCCAAATCGCAGTAGGCAGGGTGAACAAATTGGCATTAGAGTATCAGTGTTCAATTACATGAGATACAATATAGAGGCGACTGTGGCCTTAGCGGGATCAAAGGACTATAAATTTGTTCACGTAGAAGATAACGGCATTGTACAATCTTACAGACCAAGAACGTCCTTTGGAGAACATCAGTTTTTTATATGGATTCCTGCTCAGGATGCCTCTATAGTATATTTACCTATTGTGCCTGTGCGATTAGGTGACATCAAAGTGCATGTTTATGCAACGACATTAATAGGACGAGATGAAGTCACAAGAACAGTTCATGTAGAGGCTGATGGTCTTCCACAGTACAGACATGAGTCTATTCTTCTGGATTTGAGTAACAGAGCTAATGTATTTCAGTATATGCATGTTAATTTAACAGGAACTCCAATCATTCCTTATGACGAAGAGCGTTATTATATATATGGCTCCAATAAAGCTACAATTAGTGTCGTTGGTGACGTAGTTGGTCCTATTTTCCCAACGATGCCCGTCAATGCAACAAGTTTAATGGGTTTACCAATGGATTGTGCCGAACAGAATATGTTCAGCTTCGCCGCAAATATGTACACCACTTTATATATGCGGTTGATCAATCAAAGAAATAGAACGCAGGAAAAGGAAAGTTTTTATCATATGAACATTGGATATCAAAGACAGCTATCATTCATGAATCATGATGGATCCTTCAGTCTCTTCCGAAGTGATTGGAATCAGTCCGAGTCTAGTGTATGGCTGACAGCGTTCTGTGCTCGAATCTTTCAAGAAGCCAGTTTCTACGAATGGGAAAACTTTCTCTACATTGATCCAGAAGTGATTGCCCAATCAGTTTCTTGGGTATTGAAACATCAGACTGAAAACGGTTCATTTTATGAAATCAGGTGGCTACCTGATAGAAAGATGAATAGTTCTGTAAATTATGAGAATGATCTGATTAGGCATAGAAATATCAGTCTTACTGCTCATGTTCTCATTACTTTGGAAAGTGTAAGGGATCTCTCTGGTGGTTTGGGATCCAAAGTAGCTTTGGCAGCGGCTAATGCAGTGAAGTATCTAGAGCGAAATTTAAAATTGTTAGATGATCGTGGACGACCATATGATATTGCTATTGTGGCATATGCTCTATTAATAGCTAAAGCTTCTACAGCTGAAACGGCTTTTAAAATGCTGGCAAAGCATGCCAGAAGAGAAGGTGGCCTGACATATTGGGGTAGAGAAGCTGTTCCTCTTCCACCTTACAAGTTAGAAAATCAGAAACCTTTCCTCTTACCAAGGTTGCCTTATAAATATGATGCTGAAAATATTGAAACTACTGCCTATGCTCTTCTCGTTCATGTCGCCAGACAGGAAGTGATGGTAGAATCTATTGTAAAATGGCTAAATGCACAAAGATTAACAGATGGTGGTTGGGCTTCTACTCAGGATACTGCATGGGCTATGAAAGCCTTGATTGATTACACTGTTAGATCAAGGATTAGGGATGTTAGCTCGTTAACAGTTACTGTTGAAGCTACTGCTTTACCTGGACAAACTAAAACTCTTTACGTCAACGAGAAGAATATTGCCAGACTTCAAACACTTGAGGTATTTTTATTTTTCATTAAAAAAAATAAACGTCAATTATTATTCGGCTTATTTTATGATGCTTTTAACTATTTGTTATTTCAGATTCCAGAAGCTTGGGGTACTGTCAAGGTACAAGCTAAGGGTGCTGGTTATGCAATTCTACAAATGTCTGTACAATATAATGTGGACAACAAAAAATTCCAGACTCAACCACCTGTTAAATCATTTGATCTAGTAACTAAAGCAGATTTCCATGGTAGAAATCAATCTCATATTACCTATACTAGTTGTCAGAGGTAATTATACATTATGAGTAAGTGAATGTATTCTTTTCAATCAATTGAAACATCTTTAATCTTCTAATAGTTGGACCAACGTAAATGAATCAACACGTTCTGGACTGGCCGTACTGGACGTGACAATTCCGACAGGCTATATAATTCAACAGCAAAATCTAGACAAGTATGTTTTGTCAAAACAAGTGCGAAATCTCCAGAGAGCACGTTTCCAAGAGCAAAAAGTTCTCTTTTACTTTGACTATCTAGACCAGGAAGAGACTTGTGTCAATTTCACAATAGAAAGATGGTTTCCCGTGGCTAACATGTCTAGATATCTTGCTGTAAGAGTTTATGATTATTATTCACCTGGTATGTATTGTTAATAACAATATCAATTCTAATTATTAATAGTTTGAATAATCTATATGGATGATTTTACGTGAAATTTTCACTTCGAAATCTCGACCACTTTTGATTTGTCTAAATTTATTATTCTATGCATAACAAATATCGACATGTATTTTTGCGTTTTTCGAGTTCTCATTCATTTCGCTTTTACATCTAATTTTTAATTTTTTCCTCAACTATAATGATTTTAAATTTTGAAACTAAAAACAATCGGCACACTTTGTTTAACCATTTAATGGCCGAGTTTTTTCTAGTAATGTCATAAAATAACTTATTGCTTATTGCTAAATTAGGATTTGTGCCATCTCGAAAACTATTCGTACAGAATGAATTCATCTTCAATTATTAATTCAATTTTTTCTTACCCGCGGCTTTGTCTGAAATTTGCTACTTTTGTTTTTCGGTTACTAAATACAATTTTGAACTCATAATTAATAAAATGAAAATGGCGGATCCAATATGGCGGACCAAAATGAAAACAAGTGAGTTAATTTAGATGAAACTCGGCATTTGGACGTTTTTAAAGTCGCTGACTATGAATCTAAACTCAAAATGCAGAACAGTTTTCCTGTGTGCCAATAGCTTAAAAATTGCTTTTAAACGTGTCGTTCACATTTTGGGATCGCTCTCTAGCTAATGAACATATCAAACAAGAACTAGTAAGGGTTGATTTTTACGATTAGAGGGTGGGGTTTTCACATAACTATTTTTATTCACAAATTTATTTTTATATATATATATATATATACACATATAGTGATATCTTATTTTTCTATTACAGAACGTTTCCACGAATCCATATTCGACTCGTTATCAACGTATATATTGAATATTTGTGAAGTATGCGGTAGCTCTCAGTGTCCTTATTGTCAAATCTACAATGGAGCAACACTTTTCACTACTCCCACAAGATTCTTGATAATATTATCCATGACAATGGGTATCGTAAGATTCCTTAAAACACAGGAGTTGAATGTTGGTTAACACGTAACAGATTATAACTTCCATAGGAGAATCAAAGTAAACGCATGGATTTTTGCGTCAATTCGGTATGGTATTTCTTACCGATCTCATTTTTATGTTCTTTAAATGATTATATTATTATTATTTCATCAATATTACTACGATTTTACGATCAGTATCTAGTTACTTCGATTTACTTAGCATTTAAGGGATCATCACAGTGTGACCGCCCGAAAAATAGCCGATTTTCGCGATTTTTTTTTAGGTGGATGGAACAAGGTAATCGGTCTAATTTTTTTTTTACAAATTGAAGCATCTACGAAGTATACAAAATGATTTTAACAAATTTCTTTATGTATTGTTTAACGTTGTTTTTATTTGTGGAAAATTGAATGGAAAAAAAATGGTGTCCCATGGTGGCCAGGATTGCGGGCGCAAATTTTACCTGAATCAAACATTTCAAATGGTTTATAAACCTGTAGGAAAGCTGCTATGCTCCTATGGAGGCTTTTTTGTTGTTAGTAAAATTTGAAAAAATGGCGTCGGTTTGAACAAAACGTATAAAATTTATCCTTTTTTTTCGACAGTTTTTCGTAAAACAAAATAGGAAAATTTCAAAAAAAAAAGCTTCCATAGCAACATAAGAAATGACGTGAAGAATGTTCTGTTAAAATTTCAAATGGATAGCTTGAAAATTCTTCCTTTGAGAGTGGCCACCGTTTTGAAAAACACCATTCTGAGAAAAACGCGTTTAAAGTTCGGAATGCGCCAGGTCTGACCCCTGGTCCAATCCCTTCTTCTAAGAAAGGCTGTAACGACCGAAATAATTCGAATTTCAATTTAAAAATTGGATAGAATGTTTATAACCGTGTATACTATCAGATAATGAAAAAACAAAAAAATCGATTTTTAGAAAATTGTTCACTGTGATGATCCTTTAATGTCTAATCGTTGGATGGTTTCATTGGAGTTAAAAGAGAATTTAAAAATGGTTATATATGTATAGAGTTAAAATAGAATATAAATATAGTAAAACCTCACAATGATGTAAGGTTCTAAATCAGCCATTTCGCAATAACGTAACTATGTAACTCTTCACTTTGTCAAGTTTCATTTACGCAGAAACTTCTCTATTGAGGAAGTATACGTGGAAAATTCAAAACGATAGAGAATAAAAAAAGGAGTAGAGATAGACTATTACGTTACTGAAAATTTTTACGTAGAACGAAACCTACGTCATTATGAGTTTTACGTTATTGAGATATTTTATTGTATGTGTATCTATATTTTTTAAATGTATGAACACACAATAGATACGTATTGAACTGTACATTAAGTCTCTTTTGACTCTAATGCATATCCATTAAAATTTGGATCTGACTAATCTATTTTAAGTGGGCATTGTACTGCACTCTCAGAGGCAAAGGATTTTAAGTATAAATGATCAAGCTCACTAAAAGTGCCCAAAAAAAAGATATACAGAGAGCTGATATTATCTAGTTGTATAATATTAAAGGAATAAGATTATAAACTTTGAGGCTTATAGTCTATATCTATTATTAGTTACAATTATGGTATTTTATTAGCCATATACACTGAGCGCAATCTGTACATAGAGATGATCGTGATTATTGTTACATTGTAGAATTTTTTAACTCTGAGAAAGGACATATTATATAATATGAAATATTTACACCATGTCAAATTTTTGTACCTGGAAAACTTTGCCTCTGTGAGACTGAAAGACAGTAATATGCATATTATATAAATATTTACAAAATTTTCCCGTTTAAAGCGTGAAAAGTTGATCTATTCTGGTAGAAATAATGCGACTCCATCCATAACTAGGCAGTTAAGTTATTATTGTAAGTTTAGTAATGTACCGTTAACGCCAGGCGAAGGGTTGACTCCGTATGATATATATTATTGGCCTTATTGGGCCTATGAATCATTCGAGAGACACACCGAAGCAGGCTTAAGTTTTAGAAAGCCGTCCATGCGAGATATCATTAGCGAAACAAAGTAATTTGTATTTTTGAACCTTGTACTATTATTAAATGATAGATAGTCGAGAAGTCTCTCGTATTACCATTGTATTACGTGTATCGATCCTGTAATTACATATTGTTTACATCAAAATATAAATATATTTATCGAGATTATGTAGAACAGCCTTGGCAAATCCACTAAGATTAACAGACATTTAGCTTTTTATTTTACATTGAAAAATTATAACTTCATTTTTCAATAATGTAATATGTATCTTTGAAATAATTATTACCACGGGACTGCACTAACCTATCGCGCAAATAGTTCAAACATTATTTGTAACATGTTCGATGTTTTTGTTTTATAACATTTGTATAAATAAATAATTGAATTAATATTGAATTAAATAAATATTGAAGTAATAACGTCCTTTGTTCTATTTGTATAAAAAATGTAGGTATGTTTATATTATATGAACCAAAGGCCACTTTATTTATTAATCTTCATAGTATACAATACAATGCATTTAAAATTATTTTAATATTTCGATTTTTTCGACTTCCGTTTGTGCTTTGATTTATCTTTATGTTTATGTTTTTTCTTCTCCTTCTTCGATTTTTTTACCTTTGATTTTTCCACCCATTTACCTAGTACTTTTGTTTCCACACTTGATTTTAGCACAATATTTTTGAAAATTGGTTTTCGTGCCTGAGAAATATTGCTATCCAGTTTGTCAGGCGAATTATCATGATTAGGGGGAATTTGCGGAAGTGCTGGTCCATACATATCTGGTGCCTCTTCTGATAGCTTTATTATTTCTTTTCTTGCTAAATTTTGATCTGTAGATTTGGATATAATTAAGACTTTCGTTTCCTGTTTCGTGGTTTCTATTGATTCATTATCGTTAGACTCTTTTCTGCGAGTTGGTATTATTAATTCATTGAAATCTAATTGTGCAAAAATTCCGCGTGCGGGTGAAGTATTTCGCTGTAAGTTTACTTGCTCACATGTTTTTCCAATTAATACAGATTTCACTTTCTCACTGTCGATATTGTCTTCAACGCCAGTGTCAGAGTCTTCACTACTACTCAAGAATATTGCTTTGAAGAGATCTTTTTTGTCCTCTGTCTTATCTTTAGGAGTAGCGGAAGAATCCTGATGGCCTGTAACATCCGTACCGGAATTACTGTCTGAATTCTCTGTTATGTTCGGCTGTTGCCTATCAATATTAGACTTTAAAGTTAATAAAATATCTTGAACTCCTTTTCCAAACACTTTTTCATAAGTTGCTTCAAATCTTCGAAGTTTGTGAGAAACGGATGCATTAGATGCTTCAGTGGAAATATTCAAATGAGTTTCTGTTTCCTGTTCCGAGAGTACTGCAGGTCTTTTCTCCATTCTTCCTTGGTCCAATCCAACTTGACACTTTTTCTTTTCAATCATTCTTGTGGCTGTTTCAAATTTTTCTGAATTTCCTGAAAAGTCTAGACAATTAAATACTGAAAATTTACTAATTTTCTTATCCGATTCGGGTTTTGCACAACCGGCTCTTGGTTCAGGAATGTTGAATCTTTTGCAAACAATGTGTGCAGGCTGCCATTCGATTTTTGTGCGCATTATCTTCGACTTATCTTTAGTCTTCATGTTTCTGTTAATTTTAGATTCTGTAGTAGCAGTACTGGAATGTTCCAATTCACAGCTGACCAATTTAATATCAGTTGAAACTGGCGGTACGAATAATCGTAATGCTTGATCAAATTCAACCACTTCATGATCACGTTCCCATTCGCTCATTGAAAGTGGCTGTATAGAAGCAAGTTTTTTCTTCTCACCATTTTGAGAAAATATTATGTACTGCTCGAACCGTTTTTGTTTCTCAATATCAGGTAAGAAGGGTCGCACTGATTGGATACTTGAAGTATTAGAAGGAGTATCACTGGAGACGATTTCTGAAGTATTCCTTGAGCATAAATTTTCAAAAACCTTGAAATTTGTCAAAGCCCCTGTTACACTTGGATCTGTGCCTACCATGCCACCTTTTACGAAATTAGTAGCAGTCAATTTTTCTAACCATGATATATTTCCTTTCGCTTGTTGTGCTTCTTGTCTTTTTTTCTCTTGTTCATGTTCCCGTCCTTGTAGATTTAATGTTCTACAAATAATTTTAGCTGTGACTGAGGTATTTCCAGATACATTAACTGGTTGAATTTCTTTTTGTATGTCATTATGTAGTGTCGATGCTTTAAGAGGGTTGTCATTGATGATTTTATATCTGTCTTCAGCATTTAAGTCATGTCTTGCAAGACCTTTTGGTTTCCCATTTTCGTAAATGAGATTTTGGTCTATGGGAGGGTAAAATCTGCTCTTCCTGGCGACGTGTATCGGTTTGAAATCTGGTGGAAGTTCTGGGGGTTTGAATATTTTTTTATCTTCTAAACGATTTTTTGCATAGATGAAACCTTCTATGCATTTCTCTTGTGAGGTACTTGCACTATCTTCTTTCTGGGACCATCGTGATTTTGTTTTACGTTCTGGTCCTAAGGCGAAATTGTAACGAGACATGTCATCTTTTGCATAGATGTCTTCGTCATCGACTTCAAAAACACCTACTCCAAATGCTTGTCCATGTATTGACAACTTTTTATCCTTATCTTGGATATTAAATGCTGGTATCTCAAAAAGGTTTACATGACCAGAAAGTACTGGCCGCCTATCCAATCCAGTATACCCGATACCAAAACAATTGTCCTTTGGATTAAGTCTGCAATACAATAATTATAAAGAAGTACAATGCATTGCTTTATATTATTTTGTATCTTACTTATTGAAGTAAATAGAACATAGTACATACCTGAATGGTTCATAATCATCTGGAGCGAATGTTATATCTACATGCTCATCGTCTGATGCATCAGATTCATTTGCAACCATCTCTTCCTGCTGCACTGGTAAAGAACAACCATAAACTTTTACTCCCCTGTTTTGATGTAATATTTTTATCTTCTCTCTTTTAGTAATACGAGGACCAACACCCTGACCTGGTTTCCAACCCATTTTTCTCAGTAATGTTATGCCAACAGTTTCTCTATAGAATTAAGAATTGATTTCTACATAAATATACGTATTGAATCCTTACAGAATGAAACATTTTTATAAGAACTTACTTCACTGGTTTTAGAAGTTCTTTTAAAACTGGTGCCCCAGGTATTACTCCATTTGGATCTTGTCTAAATCTCTCACGTTTGGTACCTCTTTTTCCATGATCTGTATAATCACTAGTAGATCTAATTCCCATTGGAGCAATGCCAAAGTTTCCAGTATCCTCTTCATCCATAAAATCTTCTGGCCGCTGATTGACACTTCCAGCTTTACTGCTCCGAGATGATTTAAACTGTTGGGGTCTCCAGCCATCGCGAGTACCGACGCTATTAAAATAACCCGCAGAAAATCCACCAGTAAAAGCTCCATGGAAACGACGTCTACCTTGAGTGTCACATGCATATTGATCTTCAATAACCACTGGTTTTTTCCTTGGTAGACTTTCTAATAAAAAACAAGTCCAACAAATATTTACAATTTATATTATATATTAGGATTTATATTAACTTAATTATTAAGTGCAATAATAGTTTTCAATGTAACAATTGAATAAAATATTATTTGAAAGAATATATGGAAAAAAGAAAAAATTTTTCAGCACTGACCTTCATCCAGGAGCTCTAAGCCAGTTCCAAATGTAACATAATTTTCATCATCAGATTCACTCATTTTCACTCAATTAGACTTTGCAAAATATATCGTCAATCCACATTTGTTTTATCAAAGCATTATACGGTTACGCATATGTATACGCAATGTACCCAATTTTATCGGTATAATAATAATACCTGATTTATGTACCTGCGTGAAGTTGGCCGGCCAACTTTTATTTTTTAAACTTTTTTTTATTCCAATCGTTTGATAGTCGTTTGATAGTGTTTGATAGTCTTGTAAAAACGTTTGATAGTCAATAATTATTCCAGAAAATCAAAATCAAAATCTAGCGTGAAGTTGGCCGGCACTTTTTTGTTTCTAGCTGGATTTTGTTTTTCCAGAGTTCAATCGATGCAAAATCGTTTGATAGTTGCGAATTAATTAATAAAAACGTTTGATAGTCCATCGTTTGCAAGAAAAATGAGAAAAACCATATGCGTATCAAGGATCCCAATCGATACGATACAATCGATTCCTCGATCGGTGAGTTCATTGACTTAGACAATTAACAAACTTTTTCTACTTCCAATCGTTTGATAGTCGTTCGATAGTCTTGTAAAAACGTTTGATAGTCAATAGTTTCTTTCAGATATCAGTGTCGCGATCAAATGGACAGAGAAACAACGATGCGCTCTCCGCTCTCGGGTCATTCTCGAACACACCTATAGCAGAGATGAGTAGGGAGATTGCCAATGAGCCTGTTTTTGGTGAA